TATATATACCAATTTCATTCTGTAAGTAGGGGAACCACTGTTTTTTCTTAAGTTCTACTGTTTTTTTTTTTCCTTTCAGGTGGCGCTAAACCAAATAAGCACAAGGATGGACATAGACTGGTTAATATGATGTGAGTATTCTTTTATATCAAATTTGGTGACAACCTGGCAACCTGTTATTACAACTACATGCTATATGCATTTTTTTTCAGCTATAGTCCTCACTTGCTTATTTATCCATTATAACAATTATTATGCCACGTCGAAAATTTCAGTTACATCCAGGCAAGTTGTGTGATGAAGCTACTAACTGTTAGGTATGAATGAATTAAAGTGGGAAAATAAGATTCCGATGGACATTTAAAAGCCCATAAAAATGGTATTATTTGGAAGATTGACCCTACATTTGACTCCGTTTTTAGTCAGCTGGATGCAGTATCAAGACTGTATAAAACAGCAAAAAGTATGAATTTTGCAGATGAAACGGGTTGTCATCTTATACGCTCAACATACAAAAATCATCAAAAAAATCTTCTCGAACTTGTGAATCGCCTTTATTCGCGAGTATATTATTTATTTTATTTATTTATTTATTTATTCATGGTATAAAAAGAACACCAAAACAAGCAGCTCGTAGGTTGAAACCATTGGTTTACAAGTAAATATATATATATATATATACTCCAGGTCTAACATGCATAAAATTTTAGTAATTCTAATTATTCATTTTTCAAACAACACAGGTTCAAATGTGACTCCAGGTCTAACTTGCATAAAATTTTAGTAATTCTAATTATTCATTTTTCAATCAACACAGGTACAAATGTGACAACTGCGGGGCATTCATTGTCGGAACTCGAATTCACTGCAACAACTGCGATGACTTTGACCTCTGCTACGGCTGCCATTGCTCTTCTAAATTCCCATCAAGGTTTGTTTAGGCCTTTGCACTAGAAGGTTCCATTTCTACCTCTGGTTTGAAATCTAGTTTATTTTTTAATAGTCATCTTGATTAGAAATCAGAACTTACTAGTTACTAAACAATTAAATAAGGTTTCTGGTGGAATGCATACTTTATATATTTTTTTGTTTATTTATGTAATTACGTATAATAATCTAACTTTAAGGACAAGAAATATAAATAGTCATTTAAAGTTTCTCAGACCTTTTTTACAATCTTTTTGTTAATGCTTACCTAAAAAAATACCCCTATAAATGATAGAACTATCTTTCAAAGCCAGATTTATTAATACCATACACCAGACAATCCTAAGTCCTCAAATAATATTTTCTCAAACTTCATGTTAGTGAAGTTTTCTTTCACAAACTAATATCATAGCACAAAATATATCAATACAAGTTTTTCTGGTGATGGGCTGGGCATGTGGCATTGTCATGTATATTTTTTCTTGGACACCTGACAAGCAATGGCAGATTAGCCAAATCCAAATCCCCAAATCGACTTTAATCTCACCATTTCTTCCTTTTTCTTTTTTTCACAGTCACAAGGCATCGCATGTTGTGGATGTCATACCTTGTGAAATAAGTAAGTTAATTTCTTTATATTAAAGGTTCATTCATTTTTATCTAAAAGGGATTACTGAATCTAGAATAGATTTTACAAAGACAATTTTAATTGTCTAAAAAACACAATATTTTAGTAAAGTACCATTTTACATTTGACGAGTCAATGACATTCACCAGTCATGTAAATAATATATACAAGTCTATATCCTATCATCTCAGGAATTTTAGGAACATCCGTAAGTTTCTGACTGAGGATGCGGCTCTCAAAATTGTACACGCTTTAATCACTTCACGTCTTGACTACTGCAATAGTTTACTTTATGGTCTGCCGATGAGACTCATTAATAAACTTCAATTGCAACTCAACTCTGCTGCTCGGCTAGTTACCTGCACTCCTCGATTCGATCATATAACTCCAGTTTTCACGCGACTTCACTGGTTACCCGTGAAACAGAGGATTGAATTCAAAATACTTATTTTTACATACAAATAACCTCATGGGTTAACTCCTCCTTATATTTCTGACCTCATAAAACTACGTTCAAGCAAATGCAATAGACGACTTAGATCTACAATCAACTCAACTCTTCTGCACATTCCATCTTGTCGCTTGAAGACTTTTACGGAGCAAGATCATTTCAAACAGCAGCACCTACTCTTTGGAATAGTTTACCTACAGATGTGAGAAATGAGACATCTTGGATGTATTCAAAACTAAATTAAAATCACACCTTTATACTATATGTTATTAGTTTTTTCTTTCTCTTTCTTTATAACATTAGTTAGAATAGATACCGTGCATCATTATGGCACCTGTGAATTATGTTCCGGCCAACCATTGTTCGACAATGGTCTTAAATTGCGGGAGAACGGTGCGATGATGTCCTTTCATTTTGGTTCCTTTCCTTAGTTCGTTAGCATAGAATCTTTAGTTGGATTTTCTTTTCTTTTTTTATTATTTTATATTAGCGCATTGTGACTTCGGTGTAATGCGCTATAGTAAATCCCACTGCATTACATTACATTACTTGATTATTTTTTGTGTATCCAGAACTCTAGAACGCTGTGTTGATATTATAAGCCATCATCAGTTATTTCTGAAATCATTCCTGAAAATAAATAAATATAGTTTGAAATACGGAATTACGAAAGCTTATATCACATTTTTCTGTGTTTTATACCATCATATGTCAAATTTATCCGTAAATCTCATTAATAAAGATAAATTATTTAACAAATATACTAATGGTTATAAATTTATATTTGTATGTATATATATAATCCATTATATAATGGAAATATATAATTTTTATGTAATCTTTCAATCTTTGTTATAGTTTTAACTGGAAGTGAGGATAGCAGTCAGATTAACACATACAGCCACCATCATGCATGGATCCAGTTTGCCGCCCTCTCTCTATCCATGGCAACCATACAAAATGAAAACCAAAAGAAAGGTAATAAAAATAATAGAATAATCATGGTCAGATATAATCATATCATTTTTGCTTCTATTATTTAATTGTTTTTTTTAATGTTCTTCCTTTTATTGTTGTTATTGATATTGACCTGTTGAAATGTTCTGGAGCCCTAGGTGACAGGGATTTAGGGCATATAAATTAAAATAAATACATTAAAAAATATGTATACAATTTAGATATGCAAACAAATTATTATCATTACTATCTAATAATTATTATCATTATTTACATGCATTATTCCTAATTAATATTGTCAATTTCATTAATACTTACCTGGATGATATAAGCCAGATTTCTTTTTACAAACTTACCTCGAAAATAATAGAAAAGTCTGACCCAAGCGTATAAAATCAACACTGTTATGTAATTGGCCTCAATTTACCTTGAGATCACTACTGATCTCGGCAAGTAGGAGGTGGATGGATGTTCATCCAGGCAAGTATCTCACTAATAGACCAACAACCTTACATCTGATTTGTGTGATTTTTCAGGTATTTATAATGAGAATAGTAGGCAGATATACAGGCAATGTGTTGATCTAGTGGTCCAGAGTCTGGAATACATGACCCACCACAAATCCACCATGGCACAGGCAGCTGAAGAAAAGAAAAACAGAATGAAGGCCAAGAAAGAAAAAATTAGCAAAGACGAAGAAGATAGTGCCAAATTGGAAGAAGAAGAAGAAGAAGAAAAGGCAACAGATCTTAAAGAAGTCTCGGATATGAATAGCAAAAACAGTTCAGAGCCAGAGAAAGATAAGGTGGGTGATAATGATGAGCAGTTACAGATAAAGGAAGAGGTTAACAAAGAAGAAAGTAAGGAGAAAAATGAAGATGAGGCAGAAGATATAGATAAGAAAACAGACAAAAAGGAAAATAAGGGTGAGGCTATACATATATGCTTATTATTAAGTCCTGTCTAGGCTATCAAATTTCATTTGAAAAAAAAAAAATGACATGCCTAAATATGGTCATGATGACATCACAACATGACTATATATAGGCACATCATTACTGTATTTGGGCATACAACAGTTTGTCTGCTCAGAGCTTTACCCGTAACCATGCATACAGGGTACTCATTTTGCTGACAATTTGAATGTACTTTATTAGGACAGCCCCTGCTAGAGTTTAAATGAGTGTATTATTAGGAAGCTTCTGATTTGTGCGACAACGCGACCCCAGCACGGGTTCACTCATTTCTGACCGTCCTATGTTCTCTGCACGTCGATTTGGTAAAACTGCATCTTAGAATCCACTTGACAAGGAGATCTTGACGTTATCGCATGCGCCGATGGAATATTACGTTCTAGATGCTACCGCGTAGACAACTCTAAAAAAGTATGATAAGATCTAATTAAGCTTAAAGATATAGCAACAGTTAAAGGGTGTTGGTTGAATTATTTTTTAAAAAATTATATATTTTTGTTAATTACAACATATACCAGTAACAATATAGGGTTCTCTATAAATATTAAAATTTTTTATATAAAGTTGGAATTATATATTCATAACTATTACTATCAATAATGATAGTATTGATAGTTGGAATAAAAGTTTTAAATAATTATTTTTCTCTTTTTTTTTGTCCTTACATTTTTAAACTATCCATTAATTTCGATGTTTGTGTAATTCAATTTCAAAAGTCGTCAATGGTCTACCACTGTACATTACAGTGTACCATATGAGGCAATATTAATGATTGTGTTTATAATGATGTACTTTTCAGTTATACCGGTGGCTCATGTAATCTCCCCTGATCATGCATTTGCTGACTGTTCTCAAGAAAGGGTTCTGGGACTGCTAGGAGCCATGTTGAAACTTGTTCAGTGGGTAAGTTCAGCATTGCTACTCATCTAGCATTCAGTGTTGAGGCAATAGCAGTCTAAGTTTTATGGAACTTTAAGTTTATTATATTTTAATTGCGACTTAATTATTATTATAAGTTCAAGTAATTAGTCTAATTTATTCTGTTCCCGGGAGATATTTATATATTCATTTTTTTGAAACATGTTATTTTTTTGGGTAAGTTTAGCATTGTTATTCATCCAGCAATATTGAGGCATTAGCAGTCTATAAGTTTGATGAAACTTCATGTTTATTAATTAAATTGCCACTTGATGATGATTATTATTATTTCAAGTAATTAGTCTTATTTATTCTGTTCCTGGGAAACATGTATTTATTTCAGTTTTAAAAAAATGCACAAGTCAGGTAGCCAGAGGCTAAAATTGATTGTTACAAACTTCAGCTCTTTTTCTTATTACAGTATCAGATCTTATGTGACAAATGTGTGTTATGTGCCTATATATAGGCATGATGTCATATTTCACCCAAATATGGGCATATCACATTTATTTGTCCCATAAAATTTGACAGTATAATGCTTTAAATTACATTTTTTAAAAACTATACTGTACATTAAAACTCCGCACAAACCTTTAATCGAATACTATATATTGGTATTTTCTTATTGAATTATAAAATATGATGTGTACTTTCTTCTCAGTCTGGGAATGATACTTCAAAGCGATCAATGCAGTTCTCCCTGGAGAGGGCGCTACCACTTCTATTCAAATGGGTTAAGTGAGTATAATTATGTAAGCTTCTCTAGTACCAAAAATTGTTTTCATATTGTTGCTATTTCAAATTTCATTGTAATTTCATTCTTTTTTTTTTTAGAGCAAGTATCAATTTGGTTATATTATTTATTCATAACAATATAAATTTTACTTGAATTGTATTTATTTTTGTCATATGTCTTAGATATTGTCTATCCCAAATTTTACTAAAATTTCCAAATTCTGTCATTGTCTCAATCCATTATACATTGAAAATGTTTTATAGGAATGACCACTGTGAATAACACTGTGATTAGTCCTCAACATTTTGTAATTTTAATTTCTCTTCATTGAATGTGATTTTATATTAATTAAATTTCAAATGATAATTCTTTTAATATTTGCAATTGCAGTTGCAATATAATATATTAATGAATCAAATAAATTTATACAGCACTGATATCTATTAATAATGTTCAAAGGCACTCGACAAAGTTAAACTTGAAATGCTTCTGAGAACAGTTAGGCCTTCAGACGTTTTTCTTAAATTATACAAAAATAATGTATTATGATCTGTAAACTATTAGTGAATTGCATTACTTCCTTAGGGAAAGCTTCGGGAATGACACTACTGCTCAACACATGGCAGTTGGCTTACTAGGTCAGTTACTGGCCAAGACAAGTCCAGAGGTAGGTACCTAAATATCTGAGCGTTTTACATTAATAGTCTTGTTAGTAAGTTTTCAGGCTTCGATAACTTATGGCATCAAGAGGAGTATTGTTATAGACAGTATAAATGCAGAGATCCCAAGTCTCCCGAAAATCGCGGGTTTCTCCCGATTTTTTAGGTCGTCTCCCGCCCACCCGATTTTTATTAATAATCTCCCGATTTTTTTAAATATCCCGAAAATTTCACGTAAAATGTGATTTCCACGATGTCATAGAGCAATGAAACAAAATTTCTTATAATTTAAGCCAATATACTATGGCGCTCGCTCAGCCTTAAAATGTCGTAAACAAGACCAGGGAGTTGTTATTTAAGTTGTTTATCAAAATAACAACTCCATGGCAAGGCAGGCCTAGATCCGTGGTAGAATCTATGTAAAATTGTTAAATAAAAGTAAACAAATTGATGAAAATTGTTTGTTTTCTTCATTTTGTGTAATACTTTCATGTTGTACAGCGCGTCGTAAGGCATCACAGCGCGTCACTACAGGAGGCGATCACTTCATAAAAAAAATCTCCCTATTTTTTGGTTTTCAAACTTGGGATCTCTGTAAACGTTCTGTCTTGTGAACAATATGCTGATGACTCAGCGCAATGTATACTCAACTGTATACAAATAATGAATTTTTGTGAGCGCATGGGAAGAATATTTTCATGAGTTGTAAGATTGACTGTTCCATTCGAGAGGTCGAATTGAATGGAACCATCAATCTTTCTACAAATGAAAATATTCTTTCCATTGCGCAAATAAAAAAACGTTCATTATTTTTTTTTATAATACACCGAAAATATATTCTTGTCATTTGATAGTTTATGAAAAAAATATCTACATTTTTTCTGAACGATGATTCTTGTCATTTGATATTTTATAAAGGAAATTTACCCTTTTACTAAATGAAACAGTCTAGCAAATTCTTGACGTTACTGATTATGATATTAGATTAATTTTGCAATACGCTATTTGATTCATGATACCCACTTTCTCACCTTGTCATGTTGGTTGTTTTAATTGTGTGCATATTCAATCTAAAAATTTCAGGCTGCGGATTCGGCTCTTGCCCAGGCATTAGCGAGTGACACACCCCCTAATGACACAACCCCTGATTCAGATTCAAAACCATCAGAAATAGCATCATCATCTTCAGTTGCTGTCATATCAATAGATGTGTCTGATCACAGTTGCCATGGAAAGCAGACGATCAGATTTCTCTTCACTTATGGTGCAAGATGCTTGGAAAAGTAAGCTTAATTTTACTGTATATATCTTCACATTTTTTGTTGTATTCCGAATGGACAACAGTATTAACACAGACTGAAAATGATTTACTTGACACAGATATAGCTTACAAATGTAGTTATCTATTTTTTTTATGTTGTTTATTGTTAAAAATAAAATAAGTTAATTACATTCCCTAGTGCAACTTTTTATTGTATTTACATTTATTATTAGCCTTATAGATGGCCAATTTACTATTGAAATTATGCTGTGTGTCTCTAGGAACTTAAATACTGTATAGGTATAATATTGAAGATAAAATTGTATGCTTTCCTGCTCATAGGAGTGGACTTGACTGGGCATCACTTGTTGCAGGGATTCTACAGCAACTGTCAGACTGCCCTCAGTGGTCTCAAGTATTAGCCTATCATGTTACAGACTGCATCCAAGAATTACCTGGTAACACCACTCTAGCTTCTATATTCTCAATGTTTATTGTGGCAGGTTTTCCTCAGGTGAGCAAATAATTATATAAAATAATACTTATATTATAATTATGTAAATGAATTTCACTGTACTACTACGAAGTTGCAATATTCCTTCATTTCAAATGATTGTCTTTTTTATTTATGAGATAAGTGAACTTGTAAATAGTGTGTATGGCAAAAAGTCTCTTGAATCTGAATATTGCCGTTTTTCCATGCTCCTCTAAGGTTCCTTGTCGGGGAAGCTGTGCTGTACTGCAGGAGGCGTCGGGCGACAAATCAGATGTCATTATCATTAAGCATTTTGCCGCCAAACAACGAGCCCTTGTTGTGAATGCTGACTCCAGGAAGAAGAAAGAGGTAAAAACGATTGAACACAAGAAATTTGTCTACTCCAGTCATTCTGTGGTCGTTTCATGCTATATGTTTTTGTTGGTTGTATATTTCAGACAAAGGAATATGTTCTAGAATTACAGATGTCGCCTGGAACATCTGAGGCTACACACTTTGCCACATTTATTGGAGTTATCAAGCGATTACTTATTCAATTAAAACAAGGTAAGTATATTATCTGAAGTTTTTCAAGTATTTAGTCCCTGTATATATGGAGTTTTACATTCTCTCAGTTTTTTTGCCATCATGCCTTGGGGTACCTGAAAATATATGACTACCTAACTTTTTAACTGACAAATATATTACCATTTTAATTGTTATTCTGTTTCTATTGCTTCAGGGAATGTCTTAACTGTTGAGGAAACATGGGTGTTATGTCTGTCTTTGAAATCTGTGCTAGCAACCTTAAGAGTAAGTTACTAAAAACTCATTAATTAATTAATTATTAATATAACTACATAATAAAGATATATTAGTGAGTTCTCGCAGCTAGCTCTGCCTCACTTTTACTGCTAGGTACCTACAGTATTTATACTCCTTGTTGGATAAAGGCGAACCTAGACAAAGTGCCTTGCTCAAGGTTACAAAAGAAAAGCATGGTCAAGGATTGTATGTTAAGAGGCTTAAACCTAGCAACTGCATGTCATATCATACTTTACAGTATATCATATCATATTTATTTCACTAGTAAAACAATAAACAATTAAGAAACTATGGCTGGCTGGTCGGATTTCCCAAAAGCAACAGAGGTCTCTTCTGGCAGCACATACAGTACAAACATACATAATACATTTGAGTATAAATATAGAATAATATATAAACCATCTCTTTTAAAAGTTTGATTTAAAGATATAAATGTTACTAATGTATAAGTATTATGTACAGTGCATAAAATAATAAAAAAAAGAAAACATTTTAAAATAAATTAATTAACATCAAAATGGCAAAAAGGGAAATACAAGCAATAAAATAGCATTACAAAAAGGATAAAATTAACTTTTAAAATGTAGTTTAAGATTATTTAAAAATGGATATAAGTTAAAAACAAGTTGATCCCTGAGATCCACTGGAAGCCCGAGCCAAATCCTTGAATCAAACACTGACAATCGTAGTTGCAACATTATGTTATTTTTTTTTTAAGAACTGCAATGAGGCAAATTCTGTGATGCTAATAAAGGAAGACCTGATGCCTCTGCTTGTGTTCCTTGCCAGCAAGCCAACAAGGTTTAACCGCCAGTGGCTACTCTCAGATCTTGAGGTACAAGTACATTCCTGTTATACTAATGTTAGGTATAGAACCAGCAGATATTGTTTCTCTATCATTCAACTTCCGACAAAATTCGAAAAAGCAGAATTATAGTTGTTTTTATCTTTCATTTTTTTAAATTAGTTCCTAATATAATTTTAAAGCCATGTCATATTGACATCCATTTATGAAGCTTCTATATTTCTCCTAACATATTTCAAAGATTACTCTATCTTTCTAAACCATCAATTTTTATGCTTATTTATACTTTTAAAGAGCATCTTTTGCTGACAAGGCAGGACTAGTAGAATTAGAAAATGTTTGCTATCAATTTTCCCGTAGATATTATCGATAAAGTTGTACACTTGTGAAAAGAAAGCAGGTAGTGGAGATGAAGGCAAGGAGGATGGGGAAGAAGAGGTAGAGGAGGAAGAGGACACTGCACCAAGTGAATCATCAAGAGTATCATTTAATGATGGCGGCTCAGATAATGGAATGGATCCGCTGGGAGGACTTGACGATTATAAACGCACTTGTATTCAGGTAAGCAGTGCTTGTGATTAGCACCGTACACTCAGTGTGTCCGATGGTTTTAACCGACGCGATCGTATGAAGGACACAATGCCATGACGTGCACGAAACAGATAATTTTTATTGGCTAATGACTTGCGGTGTGGTATTCTTACTACAAATTAAATATTCGAATTATTGTATGTACAGTGTGTGGTCTCATCATTATCTACTTTTACTATTTCGCACCACCGTACCTGGACGTGACATGCATGTGGGGGATCCTATTATAGAGGTTCCCGAGAATGGCGGCACCAATAGAGACTTCACATAATCTTTTTAATATTGTAGGCTGCTCATGATGCATTAGAGGCTCCTCTTCCAAACCTGAGGGCACTGTTCGAAGCCTGTGGCCAGAATATCACAGACTTCTTGTTGGCAATTGAAAAGAGGTAATACTTATACTTTATGTTTTACTGCTGCTGCCACCTGTGCTGCTGCAACCACTGATACTGTATGTGTCAGGTTTATATTGTCTATTTTGTGAATACTTTCATGGATACCATTGTCCTTCAAATAAACAGCCTAAAAATTTATAGAATCCTTCCAAACAAACAAACATTATATTCATTCCTTTTACTGTAGCAGACATTCTGAAAAAATGAATTATTAATTGATATTGCTAGCTTTACAGGATTTCTATGGAAGAAATTTCCTCTATAAATATAGTAAATATTTTACAAATAATGTAATGTATATTTCTCCTAAATTTAAGTTTCAAGAGTGATGGATTTCTTGTAAGTGATGAGGTGTTGGAGCAATCAAAGAACTGGCAGTCACCGAAGGACAGAGGCAATCAAGAGGATATGTCTGAGGCGAAGGCAGTGGACTCCGGTGCAGTCTGTTATGTTCCATCCAAGCTGAAAACAAAGTAAACTTTTAGCTTTCTGTTAACCAATTATAAATCATGTGAAACTTCTCTAAAAAGCATAATAATTGTATTTTACACGAGGCATTTTGTGGCGAAATGGTTAAGTTGTCGCACAGGCCAGTATTGAGTAAATGAGCTATAAATGGGAGCTCAAACAATTGCCTAAAAATCCAAATTTGTTTTTTACTACATATCAACAGTTTAATGCCTTATTAATCATTTCCCAAGGTAGTAGTTCCAGAAATGGTGAACAAATCATTTATTTAATGTTATTTGATAGTTAATTCTATTGAACAATGTATGCACAAATAACTTTGAAAGGCAATTACTCAAAATCCTGTTTATCTTGATTCTAAGAGTACTGTACTTTCACTTTCCAATAACTTAGGCTTGAAAGTTCAATTTGAATGAATGACCCCTCATATTAAAGATCACATTCTCAGGTATCTGAAAATATGAATACTGTAACTTGAATTTCAATTTTTGCTACAACATAGCCATTTTGCCACAACATGCCACAATTTAGCGTGTTATGCATACATTTCTACTCTATTTCATGAATATAATGAATTGGCCCCAAGTCAACTCAGCCCCAAGTCAACTCGGCCCCATGCCAATTCGCGGCTGAGTTGACTTGGGATTGAGTTGACCTGCTTCCATTAGAATACCTGTATTTACTGATAAGCTATCTATTATCAATATTTGTATCAACGAAAATAAAAAGTGGAAAGACTTGTCTACTATATTATATTATGTATGTGGATGGATAATCCAATTATTTTTAAGGTAAGTTCTCCAACAAAAAAAAAAAACCGGGAATATATTGTATTAATTTCTCAAGGTAAGTAACAGTAATTATGATAGACCTGCGCTCTGTTTGGGCATGCACGTGACATGAACTATGACATGACATCCAATGTTGTATTGTCACCTATGATTTGTGTAGTGTGTACATGTATTCATGTATTTTTTTATTATTTTAGAATTAATATTTACATACGCTTAAAATGGCTACAACACTGACCTTGAATAAAATAATTTAAGAATAATATCCATAAGGTTATATGTTGTGATTTCCTTATCATTTCCAGAAAAAAGACAAACACTGCTGTTGCAGAGCCTAATGAAGTGCAATCTGTATTGATATCCGTCAATGAAAATGAACTTCAGCAGGTAATCAACTGATTAACTAATTATTTTATTTCACAGCCTAGTTATGAACCACGTCTGTTAATGACAAATTTTCATTAAAAAGTGTTAAATTTTGCTGGTTTTTTTTTCTTTATTTCCCGAAGCCTCATTAAGAGACATTGCTGATAAAAGCATCATATTATTTCTATGATTTTTAAAAAAATTAAAATTTTTTTTTTTCTGTTTATAATGCCCTAAAGCTCTGACCAGATTATCCAATATTTTTTAACGTCTATATAGTTTCATGATGTGATGTCATCATGACCACAGAGTGTAGGCTTCTCACATGTTTGTCACATGCTTGTCACATGCTTGTCACATGTTTGTCACATATTTGTCACATGTTTTCATCAAATAAACTTTGAATAGTCAGGACAGGACTAATGATATCCTTTTGCTCTCCACAGAGTCTTAAAAAGCAACGGAGAACAAAAAGTGCGGAACTGTTGAAGAAAGAACTTGAAAAGCACAGCAAAGTTGGATCCAGAGATTTTCTGCAAAATGTCAATCAGGCTATCTCCATACTCTATGCAAGGCATGTGCTAGCTGTTGCACTTGTTGATTGGCCAGTGGGCCATCCAATCAGCTTGAGCCTATTTGGTTGTGTTGATCATGCTCATTTTGTAGGGGTTTTAGATCTGTTACAGAGGGCAGAAGAAAAAGAGCTTTTTGCAAAGGTGGGTGACTTTAAATCAATTTAAATCAAATGCAAAATATGGGAGAAAAACATCAATGCTACTTTAAACAATTCAATTGTTATTAAAAATTCATAAATTTTAAAAATTATTACATAATACATTAAATAATTTAAGGATATAGAACTGCTAAATTATGAGGTAATATAGAACATAGGAAAGAAGCCCGACTTGTAATCAAACCAACTGCATTAACAACGATGGAGACCTGTAGCATTTGTATGTGTGCACTCAATGTAAACAAGCATATTGTGCTAATTTTCACTTTGACTATTTTTAAAACAATTTTCGTGACTTTTTTTTTCCACCAAGCCTTTTAGCTTTCACAGCCAGGCCTTGCTTAAGACTGAACTAGTAATTCTAGGCAAACAATTGCGTCACATTTTATTGTGATGTATTTGTGGAAGTGCTTCCCACTTAGTTTAAAATCCGTCGCGATGCGATACTAGGTAGATCGAACGCTCTCATATGCCCTCATTAGTTTACTACTACTTTCAGAACACTCGCTTTTAATTTTGGCTTATTCATTTGCTCTTATATATTAAGATTGTATTGTGATGTTTTGTCTTACCTGTGTTATTGTACTGAATACTCAGTACATTCCCAAATACAGTTCATAAGTGATACGAGGGAGAACTGAACCCACGAACTCCAGATAGCTAGATTGGTAAAGATGCAACAAATGTTCGTTTATTCATCGTTTTTAATTTTCATTGCAGGCAATCCGCAACATAGTGGAGCACTGTGAGGATGAACTTCTGTCGTCTCTAGCGACTGCAGCATGTACGTTCATGGAGGAGAACAAGATGATGAGTGAAACACGAGAATCGGCTCACAATTATAAAAACGACAGCTCAGAAAAGGTAATTAATGTTCGTTCGTCAAAAGTGTATGTCAACAGTGAGGAAAACAAATTTGCCAATTACGCGAATGTGCTGTAGAAGCGTGTGGCGCAGCGTGCAATGCACTGGACTTTGAATTGGAGGGTCATTGGTTCGAGACCAATGCTCATCACACTGCTTGTGTCCTTGGGAAAGACACTTTATCTGCATTTACCTCTCTTCACCCAGAATGATAATGGGTACATGGTAGGAGGTGAATGATTCAGAATGAAATTAGTAGCGCTGATTATACGCATAACTAGGAATACTCCACAGGGAGCAGAGGTTGCACGTTGTGTATGATTGATTCTGTATCCAGTGACCAGGGGAAAAGGGCCTTGAGCAGTTTTCTAGTTACGTGCACTCTATAAATCCTATGCTATTGATTTCTTAATAGGGTAGCGTTAACATTCCTGGAGCGATGTATCTATCGGTGAAATTTGACGAACAGTGTGCGACAGAAGATGGATGTGATGTTCTGACAATGTCATCAGATGCTAAGGGCAAGAATGATGTTCGTAGCTTTAGCGGACCGTCTTCTAATTTTACCAATTTTGAAATGCCAGGTTTGTTGTTTAGAACTGGTTTGGTGTTTTTTAAATGAGTATGTGGGAGGGTATATGGGAGGCTAAGGCTATGTTCATAGGCAAGTAATGCTAGCATAACGTTTGGAGTGCGTAGTGAATGTCAGTATTAACACCAATCACTGGTGTACGATAATCCGCCAACTGATCCTAGATTAGCGTATGCCTCTGAGTCGTGACAGTCATGCATCAGCCAGGACTTGACCAATCACAACAAACATAGAAAACATTAAATAAGATGCACGATTACAAATTTATATATTTTGCTTGACGCTGTATTACTTACACTGGCATTACGTTAATTGCCCATTCTGAACATCTGACTAGTTACACTTTGGATTAACGTACCCCCTACGTCAGATACGCCTTCTCCCAGGTCTGAACGTAACCATAGTAGATACGTAACTATAGTAGATCGTATTGTGAATCAATCCCAAGAAGCACTACCTAGACACGACTATTTTGACATTCTTAAAAAAAATTATTTCCTCCACCTTGAATCATTCATAATTATATTTTCTTTATTTTTTTCCCCTAAACTTATGCAGGTGACACACTTCACTACAACTTTAGTTCTGACTGCAGTAACAATGACTGGGGTTACAAGTTCACGGTCACCGGAGGTCAACTAGGAAGATTTGTCACCGGACACATTCTGCTCAATGAAATCCTTAGCAACACGTCGAAAGCCAGGTACTGAAATTTTTGGATTTGCTTCATATGGTTGTTGGCTAACTCGTGACCATTCAAATTCAATTTAATTCAATATACATTTATTCAAACAATGCATGAACATAACATAAATCATTAAATTTCAACAATAAAATTCCACTAAAGATCAAGTTATAGAAGGAGTTTGGCTTGTCTCATACCCACTTATGGCAAACCATACTAAATTTTAGGTCAAATCTTGCCCTACATTGGCTAATTCGTACCCATGTCTTATTTATATATTTACTTTGCTTTAATAATAAAACAGAATCCAATATTAAATGCTTACTATATACTGTACTACAAGTTTCTATCAAAACGAAATTTGAAATAAATAAAACTTGCATCAATTGCACTAAACTTAAAGTTCCTATCTACGGCTCTGAAACCACTGACTACTGCGCAATACAATCCTACTAAATATCAATTTCTAATCTTGTCTATAACTTAAATGTTATATGTTGAAATGTTATTTGTTGAATTTTGCAGTCATATTCCTGTGAACGAGGTATGGTCTTGGTTGGTTCATGTTGCAAGTTGTCAGACTGGACAGCAGAGGCTAAAGGCAATTCAGCTCATGTTACGATTATTGCAAGCTGCTACATCTAGGTGAGCAAGTTAAATTGTATTTTTATTCGAACAGCACTGTCTATAAAGCTGTCCAGATTTTCAAATATTCATTCACAAATGTTGTATGCCCATATATAGTTATGACCATATTTAGGAATGTCACATGTTTTTTAAATAATAATAAAATGGACAGGGCTTAAATTGCTGTTATCATAGTCATCTTGTAATTGTAATGGTAATAGGAATTTAAATTAGGGCCGTGGTGACCCATAGCGATGGCAGTATAGCTTCTACCACGGGAAGTACGCAGGAGACATTCTCTTAACTCTTTTCAAATAGTATACTAAGTATTTCTTTGTGCATGTGTTATCATGCACACACAGGACCAACAGCTTAACAGATCATCCAAAAGATGAGGTAAGTCATCACTTGAAGGACAGAAATATATGGCTCTTAAACTAAGTCTTATGAGGTTTAGAAAATTATATCTTTGTGTTTTACAGAATTTGATTCCTAAGCCTAGGATCAGAAAGCAAGCATATTAACCATCAAGCTACAGTTATATTTCTAATTGATAACTCTTAACACACTAATTGGTTTATAAATAATTGAAACAATTAGAATTTCTTGAAAGACAGATCCCATAAAAACCTTTTCTGTTTGTTTGGGCTTCCAGCTCCGATGAGAATCCATCAGAAAACGTGATGCAGCTTCCAGACCTCACACTGCTGAAGCCTCTCTGGGTTCTGCTAAACTCTATGGATTCTAAGCAGTCCGACTCCTTGAAGTGTCTTCTGCCAGCTCACTGTGCTCTCACAGAGCTCTTCCTGGTGGTTGAGGACCTTGCTAAGGTGAGGAAGTGATCATTTAATGTTGCACTTGAGATTATTTATGTTTTATTAGATTTTTAAAAATTTTAACTACATTTTGATATATATTAAGAATGAATAAAATTATTAGTACAATTCAGTAATCAATTCAGTGTCTTATTTCTTTGAATTTATTATCAGGCATCGTCTGAAGAGGATTATGTGTTAGCTATGATTCAAACAGAAGACTTGAGAAAGAGTTTCCTTCAGGTGAGCTTTGATGATGTTTGAAATTACACACATCATCTCATTTACATAAGTTCAAAGGTTAAGTGTGAATACATTTTAGGTGCAGCAGTAAGGCTTTGAATCCTGGTTTTGGTCCATGGTCTCAACTACATCCACAAGCATAACTGGATACCTGATGTGTTTAACTGCCAGTGCATTGACTACTAACAGCCATGGATGGTAAAATGATCCAAGCCTCTATGTGCCTCTATTACCCCAGTCACTGGATTTAACACCTATAAAATACATACTCAGGTCTTTGTAACCCTATCAAGTACCCACAATATACTCCTGGGTGGAGAGGGACAATGTGGATAATGTGCCTTGTCCTAATGAATATGCGATATGCAGAGCAAAGATTCAAGCCCCTTACCTAAAAGTTTAGAGCCCAAACACTCAACCGTAGCACCAATTACTATCACAACTACAAGATAATAAATAAAATAAACAGAACAAGTGGCTGTCATTGACTACCACAGTAGTTGACAAGCTTCAACAGTGCAAAACAAAAGAAACACCCTAGAGGGAAAAAATATGTTAGCTGACCTTATATTTCACTTTCACGTTCCTTGTTTTTGTTTTCTATTTTAGTATTAGCTAACCGTCTAATTACTTACTTATCTTCTCATTTACTTTCATTCTATGCTTCCTTAACTTTCTGTGATTCCTATTTACCTACCTTTTCTTTCTTTAGTCTCCCTTTTCCTTTTAATTACCTTTCTTTCCTTTCCCCTTTCTTTCTAATGCCTCCTTATGCAAAAGGCGGTAGCAAAAGTCAGAATAGCAGCAAGCCGGAACCAGTTCATCTGGAATCCTCATTTTAAACAAAGAAAAAATGTTCATCAAACGTTTATTTTAATCTTTAACTTAAAATTTGATTTCATTTCAGGGTTTGTGTAATGTGGCGTCGTTGGGTCTGGCGTTAGGCATACCCAACAAAGCATCCGAGGCATTTCGACAGATGGGACTCGTAGCTGGTCAGCCTCCTCCTTTTCAAACGCCGCTTGTACCGTTTCCTGTCAACAGCTTTATTTGAATTTAAAGCATTGTCTACACTATACAATTGGATGTGAAATGTTTGTGTGATGTCTCCATATATGTGTATGAGGATGTCATAATACTCTCAAATATGTGCATATCACTTTTATTTGTCGCATACATTTTGATGGCATAAACAAAGCTTAGGAATAAGAAGTTTTCAATGAACGATTTTAGAAATAATTAATTATGTGAGTAAATAGTTGAAAAAAATATATATTAAAATTTTTTTAAATCATGTTAATAGTGTTGTTTTTAATTAAGTAAGGTTGCATTAGTGAGACAACACTAATAAATTTAAAAAATGATCTAACATTTTTTTATTAGTTCTACAATTATTTTTTTAAAAATAAGCTTATTTGGATCTTGAAGTGAAATTTTTAGCTTCATCGTTAAATGCTTACCTTCCAATCCACTGTGACACCAGGATTTTTTCCATAACTAAAAACAATTCCATTCCTCTACATAGAGTAGTTAAACATAGTTCCATTATGAGTGTGCTTGTTGTTAGATGGGGATTGTTCCATTACGAGTTTAGGTACGTTCCACTAATAAAGGGGAACTTACATATATACTGTAAGTTCATTCATGTATTTCAATCCTTGATTACTAATATTACTCCTGATTGGTGTATTTTTTAGATATACTGTATCAGATATGTCGCCAACTAAAACATGAAGATTGTTTAAGTTACTATCTGCAATAATTACAAAATATTGTAGAAAGATAACTAAAAAATGTATTGTACATTAATAATTGTGTACATTGAAGTTGAAAAGTATTTTTAAATAATTTTGTATAGTTACCTGTTTTGTTAATGGAACATTCCACATATTTTTCCTTGCACCTCTGGATGGTTATTATTAGATATACTGTTTTTACGATTATTATTACAAATCTTTATTATTATTATTATTATTATTATTATTATTATTATTATTATTATTGTTATTATTTATTATTATTAAAACTTCTGGCTGTTAACATTGGGATGTTAAAATAATATTGGTTTAAAGTGGGATACATTTTAGCTTTCATTTATGTGAAAATAATATGCAATTGTTTTTTTTGTAATGAGCAAGTTAACTGTACATTGGGTACAGCCTATCAGTAGGTTGATGCTGTCGAAAAGAAATATTTAAAGAAATCTGGTTAAGATTATTTATAAAAACCTTTTATTTTGAGACAGAAATCATGATGCATTAATATGAACTTTTATTTCGTATTTTTCTCACTACCATAACAAGTGTATAATGAATTTCTTTTTATTTTAGATAGGATGAAAACATCACCTTTTCCATGATAAAAACTGCTGGATGTTATTATAAAGTACTACATGTGAAATAAGAAATGCTAAAGATATTTTAGTTAAAAGTTTTACTACTGTTTTTATTTACTTTTTTTTTTTTATTCATCAGTTTAGGCTGAAGGCCAACGATATGCCAAGGAGCAAACTGAATCACTATTCTAAGTGGCAATCCCTTCACAAGACAAAACATAACATAAGCACAAAATGCTTTACATAAACTAAGTCTCACATATTTCTTTAACAGCTTGTTATTCTAAGTTGGAAAATTTTCTCCTAGTTAATCTTATTTCCACTGCTTGTTACCTTTGTGTAGGAATGTTGATATTTTGTGTGCAATTGTTTCTCCTGGTTATTTGTCTATTTCCTTCACACTACTTATCGGTTGTATAGGAATATTTAGATTTTATGGAATTCATTTTGCCTTTTCAGGATTATAGCTTTTTTTCAGGCTTTTCAACAGGCCTCTGCAAGATTATTTTATTAAACTCTTTTTCATATTTTTATGTTGCCAAAGTATCTAATCATAAAATAAAAAATAAATTGCAATATTTTGACATTATGCAGAATTATTTGGGGAATTAGACTATATTACTAGGTTCACCATATCTTAGTAAGTTAATGTAATTTATATGGAAGGTAATTTTACTAAACATTTTTTTAAACTTTCTTACTATGTAGCGAAATAAAAATATGCAAATTATATGGATATGATGTATGACCTTGTAAAATTTGCATATTTATGAGTTGTAAAGCTAAATACAGATAATTTTTTCCTTGGTAAAATTATTATTACCTGAAGTTCATAATGATACAGTAATATGAATATGCAAATGATATGAATATTATGTATGGCCTTGTAAAATTTGCATATTTTATTTGTGAGTTGCAAGATTAAATAAATATGAATCATTTTTGCTTGGTAAAACTATTAATACCTGAAATATATTGAAACTTATAATGATGCTGTTTTGCTTATCTTCACATTAAGAATATTAAAAGAAGATATAAATATTATAAACCAGTTTATGATATTTTGTATAGAATTATCTGTTTTGTTGAACCAATTTGTTGCTTACCTTAGCAACTCACTCTCCTCCCCCCCCCCCCCCCCCCCCCCCCCCCCCCCCCCCCTCCCCCAACCCCAAATACACTCACTCACTGAAGTGTGAATGATCCAAATCATCAAGGGTCCATTAGCCTAAAGAAAGTGACCAAAGTAGTTGCTGAAACCATTGCTAACGTAAGCAACTAATTGGTTCAACAAAACAGAAAATTCTCTACTATATTTATGAAACTAGATGAAATTCTTTGAGGATTTTGTTTTGGTTATTTTCATATTTAAAAAAAAAAAAAATATTATAAACCAGTTTCTTTTAAATTTGTGGATAAACGATCAAATGAAGAATAGATATATCTACTGAATCTCTAGTTCTAAAAGTGTTGTTTTATCTAACACCATTAGTAAGAATACAAAACAAAGCTTTCTTTATAAACATGCTTTTAATCTTTATTTTTATTCTGTTCATTTCACTGTATTTACATCTCAAAACATGCACATCTAAAATCCAGTCTTTCAAAAACCCTTATCAGACCTGCTGAAAAAGAATGCCAGAAATGGACTTCCAGCAAAATAAATCTGAAATCTTACTGCACCTCTTTACTTTGTATATTTTGCCCTGGCAACCCTGACAATTAAACTCATTCAAAAAAAAACTACAGCAAAAAGGATCCACAATAACGACTAGCACATCGCAAAACAAATACAGTATGTATTCCTGAAAAAAAATATTTAATTAAATAAATAGACAACCACACTATCTTTGTAAAAAAATCAAGTTTAAAAAGAAAACTCGCATCACATTCTTGTGGATATTAAAATGTTTCTGGCAACTTTCCATTTTATCACATCCTTATTTTTATTTGTAAGAACAGACAGCACACATCACCAAATACCTACAGTATGAATTCATTTCTGTACAAAATATATCATCATATAAACAGATATTATTTCTAACAATTAAATACATTGTTTTGTGCAATAATACAATGATCCTAGCAACTTTGTATTGTATTATACTGTATTGTATTATACCTAAATAAGTCTAGGATAAACCCAAGAAATAACTATTCAGAAAGTTTTCTAATAAAGTAGAAGTAAATCTCTTTACTTACAGTGCTTAACCATCTTACAACATTGAACTACTTATTTAATAGCTATTATAAGTTATGAACAGACATTACACTTATTATTTACAACTTAAAAATAGAACTAAAATTGTAAAATAAGAAAGATAATTTAGGATAAATATATCTAGAAAGTGGTTTTGTAATAGAGTAGAAATTAATGGTACTTACTGTACAATACAACATTGAACAATTCATTTAATAGCTTATAAGTTAGGGACAGGCATTACACTTAATATTTACAACTTAAAAAGATGAAACTAACATTTTTGTAATAAAAACAGAAAACAGGAAAGATTATCTGGGATAAATGCTTAATACATTTTATTTGATTAATAAAATTTGCCTGCATTGATAATAAAATTCCTGCTCTAATTTTATTCCAGATCAAAAGCGAGGGGCTGATGAAATTGGGAGGGGGAACTCATTCCTAGGCTCGTCTTGATGCTCTTTCAACCACTTTTGAAATCAGCATGCTGATTTCATAATTTCAATTGTAGCCAGCATATGCTGAAGTGTGGCATCTGGGATTTATTCAGCGTGATCACCAAGGATAACCCACGAAAGTCTGAAGACATTTCTAGCGAAGTCCTGTAAGTGATGGATAGTACACCTGGAGGCATCCCCTACTATTTTCCGAAGAATGAACCTTCTTTAAATTTGCATACCGAAACCAACAGCTTAAATTTCTTTAAAAATGTTGTCTGCTTTTTTTGAACTTTCATTTCAGTCCGATAGTTGAAATACAAGGAGAGCAGCAGATGGAATTGAATCGCATCTACATGGTTCAGCGCACACACAGTGACTACCACCAGTAGAGCTGCTCTTGTATACAACAATAGATAATTATATGTTAATAATCAATTACATTGAGTCTCCCTTACTACCACAGTATCAACAAGAAGTATCAGGATTTAAAAAATGCTCTCTATTAAACTTTGGATATTTGTAAAAGGTGAAGCAGCTCATCAAATTCAATAATTATGTTTGGCAAAAAAATATTGCCAAATACTTTTTATATTTTACAGTAATTTCATTGTAAAAATTTGTATCTTCTTAATTATTAGGAATAGGCATCTGGGCCAAACATATCACCTGAGAAATACAGTTATAAAATCACTGTTTGATAGAGGTTCTGAATCAAGGAAATTTTTTCAATTAAACAATTATGCATCAAAGGAATCTTGCCCAACAATGTCATTTAACACCACAAATATATCATCATTTTAAAAAAATCTATATATCATTTAAATATTTAAATAATATTAAATTTAGCATCTCTTTAAATCATTTATTTATTGAATTTTATTCTATTTTACAATCAAATTGAGGTGAACATTAAGGGCCATTATTAGGACACTTGGAAAATCTTTAAAAATTTATGTTAATATTGCATACTTGTTGCTTTACTTCTGTTTTCATTCTTTGTAAATTTTTGATTATTCATTTTAAAGTATTTACAGTCATGAAAATGAAAACCATAATTTATAACTCAAATGATTGTACAATAATGATGGCAAGACATATGACTGAAATAATCATATGAATTTATCCTTGTGTATTTACCACCAACTTGTATTTATATCCCAAAATTCCTCCCAAATACTTCAACCATGGCCAACCGAATATTTTACTTAAATATTCATTATTATACCACATCCATCAATTATATACTAATTTGAATATAATCAATCTCATTGGCCGGTATCTGCGAGTCCAGTTCTTCTCCAGCTATTCGGAAGGTTATGCTCATGTTGTATGGTATGTTAATTGAACCGTTGCTTGCATTCCATATCCAACCAGTACCACCTCGTTGCAACATTGAAACAGAAACCTGTGAAAAAGGAGAAGTTTGAACTGAGAAAAGTAAAGGTGCCTTGCTCAAGGGCACAAGTGAAATGGACAGCGAGGGATTTAACCCCGACTTCAAAGTTTGGAAACCAAACCGTTCCCGCTCCGCCAAACCGCTTCCACAATAACAAAGCTTCCACATACCCTAAGGACCCATCTGTAGGATGTGTACCATTCTGCCAAGGACCAGTTTAAACCAGATGAGCTATGCTGCCCTTGTAGTCACAGGACCAGTTTAAACCAGATGAGCTATGCTGCCCTTGTAGTCACAAGGTGACAGTATATTCAATAACAACCCCCCCCCCCCACAATGAAAATGTCTGAAGCAAAGAAGTCATGCTCAAGTAGTCATCGCATATCACCTTATTTTAAGATGTGTATAAGAGACAGGACAGCACACATCACCAAATACCTACAGTATGAATTCATTTCTGTACAAAATATATCACAACATATTTCAAGACTCGGAGATATGCCACTGGACTGGTCTTACCTGTGGGGTGTAACCAAGTATTGCCCAAAGTGTGGCTGTAATCGCATTGCGTTGGTGAACAAATTGCAACTTTTCTGTCTCTTGGCGATTTGGTGAAATTTGACTGCAGCTTTTAAAATCACCTGTAAAAAATGGAACATTGGCATTATACAAGTTAAAGTGGTTGAATTTAATTGATATTCCATAAAAAAACTCTTATTTTTAAGGTGACATCAGTTTTATGAAGTGCAGTAGTATGTTCTATTTATGTTATCGCAAATGTTTTTGCTAACCTCTGACAATCGGCAATGTTTGGTCACATGGATATCTTATTGCAAATAAACGCACTCTGGTTTATATTAATTTTTCATTGTCAACAAATTTTGCAAAGCAGCCAAATGAAAATAATACTCAACAAAACATTATTTTTCTCAAAGAAATATACCAGTAGAATATGGCCATAATTAATTTTGTGTTAAAAGGTGTTATCTACAAATACCACAAGTAATAAACAGAAACTGACAGGCAACAGAACAACAGTAGAGCATTCACTTTATATTCTTTGCAGTTTAAGAAAATAAGTATATCAGAAATGGATCTAGATTTAGCAGAGAAGCATGACCACTTTAGCTTGCCTATTAACTGCTTTCCACCATTCAGTTGTATAACATCCCATGTACCAATAGATTTCAACACAGCCCTTGTTGATTCCATCGAACTGTAAGATAGCTGACCTAAAAAAAAAAAATTAACATTAATTCATTACCCATTATTAGTCAAAATGTTATGGTCAGTAATACCTTGTTTGTAACTGATAAGGCAGGTTTTTTAAGCCCAAAATTGTTTGCACTTAAAACTGATATAGGCAATGGAGACAGGGAGTTGGGGTGAGGCTGTTAATAGTATTTCTGGGCTGTGCAGTAAAGAGTTTTATGAATTTTGTTCTCTTAATCTAGGTGTTTAATTTATTTCTGTGGCAGTTATGGAGCATCTATTAGCCTGGGAAGGCTGTACAGTAGCTCTGTAGCCACAATATATGCTAAACAATAAGCTGAACTGCCAAAGTTGGATTGCTGTGTCCGTCTGTACTGCATAGGCTGTGTATATAGGCAGTGCATAGAGCTTTCCCCAACTATACAGGATTGGATTGGATTTATTCGGTGTAAACACCAAAGATATCCCACGAAAGTCTAGAAGACTTATTTCCAGTGGGGTCCTTCTGGTGGTGATTGGGCAGCACACCGGGAGACAATCCCATACTCTTTTCCAAAGAGTGTACTGCGTTCTTTAACGTGCACATGGGCCATAAATTCACACAGGATCAACAGCTTAAACGTCTCATCCGAAGGACGGTGCACCCTCCAGCTGAAACACAAGGAGAGGCAATGATGGGAATTGAACCGGGTACCTAGAGATCTCCACGGCTCAGCGCACACAGAGTGGCTACCACCAGATTAGCTGACTGAGCTAAGCTGCTCTCAAAATTTTAGTAGATACAGTAACATTGTATACTTACAGTATATCATTAAATTATGCTAAAAGACATACTGTATTATTTATAGAAGCTATTTATTGTAATTTGTAGTTTACCAGGTTGAAAAAAAGGCAAAAGTACAAAAAGAGAAATAAATGGATAGAGCAAGGCAATTTGCTTGTCTTGTAATTTGTATCATCCATGTTGAACCGATGGAGTTGCACAAACAACAGTTTGAATAATATCAACAGTAATAAAATTGGGTTTTTAAAAATATCTTTGACAGCAATGATTGAATTCTGATTAACGATGCTGTATAAAATGTCGTTCCACCTGAAATAAATCCTGGTACGAGGGCATCCCGTATTGACGATAAATATGTAAACTGAAAAGACTCCAGGAATTGAGTGTATCGCTCTGGCAAAATGATCTCCTTCATCGAAGCCAAGTCATCAGGCAATTTGATCCTGTCATTCATGAACACCACGTATGGACGAAACACTTTCATTGGGAGGCAGATATCTTTACGTATCAAATGATTTCGTAGAAGATTGGCACGTAGCCTCTGCTGTTCAAGGACGTTGTCGTGTTTCAGATCATATTCGATGCTGGCGTGTTCTGAGCTTCTTTCACTTTTGCGCTGGATCCAGCTTTTTCCATCCTTGCTAACCGTCACAGTTCCAGACCAATTCTTTACTTCAATTACATAAATCCCATTACCTGCAAACAATTTTAAAAATAACATTTAATGAGATATCAATAGGTTTAAATATTCAAAATAGTCCATGACCTCAATGAAAAACTTATGGTGCTTTCCTGACTGTTATAAACCACACTAAAATTAATATTACAAAATAAGCAATGAAATATGAAAAAAAAATATATACAGACTGTATTCTGTGTTATGATTTCTTATTATGTTTCACTGGTTTACCAACATTTTTCGAAAACATTCAACAGTACAATAGTCATTGAAATTCAATAAATAAACACATACATGGATGAATGAATATACTGTAACAAGGCAAAAGTATGAACAAAGAAATTGAAACAATTGATTGCATGATAAATAAAACAAATTCTTGCACAATCAAAATGATACTGATTAATAAATTTCATATTGCTATTAATTATAACATTTTTAGAAACACAAACAATAATTTAAAACATCCTTTTGGGATACAACGAATAATAATAATGATCATGGTACTGAAGTATAAAAGAACATGACAACCATTATACCTGTAAGGACGACCAAATCAATTTCGTGTTTCCTCATCTGAAAATCATCTGGTACCCGCAATCCACAAAATATATCGGATCGATTGACACCACGTTTTTCCAAAGCGCAGAGGAGACTTTTCTCGGCATCTCTTCCAGTCTGAACATGAGCCTCCTCCGAATGGACTTTCGGTGAGCTAACATGTTCAGCCTGAACCAAACGATTTCTTATGCTAAACATTGCCAAGGTTTTTGTTACTTTTTACTGAAAAGTGAATGAAATAATCATGAACATAAGGTAGATGTAAGGGTGAAGAAAAATCATCAATGCTTGGAGAATGTGCAGCAGGCAGAGACAGGTTTCTACCTAGTTTTTAGTCTAATATTTCAAGACTTTTATAAGAATCATTTTAAATCAGTATATGTTTATATACATATTAATTATATATAAATAACATAATATATATATTGTATATTCATATAGGCAACGAAAAAAACCCCAAACTATAGTGTGATGTAATGCAGTCAATAACTTTCTCAACCCCTCAAGGGAATCACAACAAACAACTATAGCATCTTTTTTATGAATACAAAAAAAACTGTAATTATTCTACAGTCCTTTAAAATTGAAGATAGAAAAAAAAATTGAAAGAAAAAACCCATCAATATTCTTGGATTATTATGGATTTCCGTGGGATATAAATCATAACAAAAATATTTAACTCCAATCTCCCATCTATAAAATAGCTGAGACTTGTTAACGAGAAAATATTGTGAGTCAAATCTGAAGATTATGTTTATTACAATCTGATGAGCTAATGTGGTCAGGGTGCTGGTATGGTGGAGATACAATAACACAAACATATTTTTTCATCCATTTTAAAACGGTTACAAATTAAAATAACGTTAAAATACAAAAGGAATGGGAGACTTGAGAAACCTGGGTGTTTGTACAGACAAGACCCGTAAATCAGTAGACCTATCATATAACCTACATTTTAATTAAAACTGGAAGAAGCTAAAAAACAAAATCACCACATTTTTATTGACAAACAGCTGGCTTACCCCATGAAATTCTCAACAGAAATTGACTCAAAATGGAAACATATTGTTAAATCTGAACATTGCAATTCAGTGTAGGACGAGCCTCTTCCAGCTACGCATACAGATGACTGTTGTATGTTACACAAACGTTATTAATAATTAGCTACTGTTTACAGATCATTATAACTTGTATGTTGCTACGACATACATACAATTGTTTTATAATCCAGGTCAAGGAGTTACGACATAAAAATAGAAATGACGATAACATCATCGAAATACAACACAAAATTGCACTAAATTTCTGAAAGATATTGTAATTTCAAATACACTAAACTAATATTAGTAAACTTTTTACCTAATAACATAATAAATAAATAGCATAAATACACAGAAACTCTTAAAATGTCAAGACATATTCCAATGTTTTGAACAGATCCAGACGTAAACAAAGACACATTGCGCAGTTAGATTATCAGCTGTACACTGTAAACAATACCGCTGATTTAGGCTCCTGATAATATGTAATTATGAATTTAAAAAACTTTAAATATCTTGGCAATAAAATTTATGAAAGGTTCAAAAATAAATAAAAATTACTTTGAGTTGTTTTTGTGTACATATATTTACTACATTAAAAATTATATTCCTTAAAACATTGACATTTATAAAATGTCTGTAGTCGTGGCGCGAACCATGTGTCGACTCAAAACTTATCAATAACAAACTCGGAAGGAGGCCTGCAATCCTGAAGTTTGGGCGTAGGTTTTACTTTCAAACTGACAAATCATAACCCAGCAGCAAATATACATTTTATTATTCATTGCATATGCTTTAAAATCATTTTATCTCACTGCTGTTACTTAAGACAGACGCTAAAAGAGCAAAAGATCACTTACTTTTTAAAAGTAGTTGGGTGAGGAGAACACCACCCAGGCAGGCAGTCTAGTGTGGTAAAAAACTAGGCCAAGGATAGGGCCTGGCCCAGCCCCTAACAATTTGACAGGCGGGGCGTTCTTATATATATTTTTTTTGTTGTTGAAAGGAGTAGTATAGGTTCACTTAACCCATGCAAAGACAACATTGTATACTAACATACTACTTATTTAGGCACAGCACAGCAGCAGTGCGTCTGCTGATGTTTTGTATCATCTGTAGGCCTACGCCTAGTGGCATAAAAAGCTGTATGTAGATGTAGTGCATAAAAAGTTTTCTATGTATTGGCACTGCCGCAGAGCACCAGACTAAAAACATACGGTTTTCATTGAGATTATATTTCCCGTGCAAAATTAGGCTAAGAAGAATTCCGTTCTCAATTTTTAGGCAAATTGGCCTATTTTCACACCCTTTGTCCAGAAAATTAGGCATTGGCATATCTTTCAATATACAAATGATATTTTAAGTTGCAGTTATGATTCTGCGCACATATTTTCCTAGCAAATTTGAGTTGCTTTTTGACGTATAATTTTAAGGTGTGAAAAAAGTTATGGTAAATTTGTTCTTGGCATGTCTTCTGAGGGATACTCGGGGGTTTAAGCTGGCCAGAATCAATATTTAGCCATTTGGCTGATTCGGTATGAAAAAAATTAGCCAAATAGAAATTTGATTAGCCAAAACTAAAGAATATAAGCAATAAAGCTTTAATTCCATCAGCATTTTGGCTAAATTTAAAAGAAAATATTTAGCAAAATTCAGCTCTTATTAGGATTTGGCTAATGAACACTTCAAAAAATCTTTGTAAGAAAGGCCTTGGTTACACTAGTTTCCTGCTCCCTGGTCCTATAATAAGATGGTATGTCCGAAGGGTTGTACACGCAGGACTTATTTCCATAGAAGTTCCTATGGCGTGGTGTGGCGAATTCAGTTGATTAATATTTTGTGTACATTATTACTGCCGGTCATTGGATCAAACACTGTAAAGCACATCTTCAGCAAAAGTTTTTATCCTATGACTTTTTCTTGTTACAGGTTATTCATTAAAATGTCGGAGCTATTACGCGAACCCACGGAGGAGCAGATAAAAGTACCGAGGGCAACCTGTAGCTACGACAACCATTGCTCGCAGTTTCTGGTCAAAGAACGCAACTACAGTCGACAATATGCTCACTTGTACGCACAACGTTTGAAATGCTTTTATCCAACACTGGAAAAGACAGTTAGAAGAAAATGGGGTAAGAAGGCATTGTGGTATTATCTTAATGAATGTTAGGGTATAGTACTAAAGTGCATTAATTTTCAGTATTTTTGTTAAAAAAAAGTTGTTTTTTTTGTTTTTGTTTTTGTTTTATTTTTTTTATAGGGAAATTTAATTTATTAGAGCTCATTTTTGTTTTGTTTATTAAATTATTATTATTGATAAGTTATCAATTAAAAATATTTTTGTGTTAAGTTTGCATGTAAACGGTTAAATTAAACTTATGTTTTGAGATTGTTCTGATTGTATTATAATTATCATTTTTGTATTAACTTAATAACAATAACAATATATATTTATAAATGGACATAAAACATGTTCTTGCATTGTATTAATTTTTGGTTTCATTTCTATTAAATTGTGAAATCTGGATGTAAAGTGTTTGAAAATCAAAACATTTTTTATCTCTTCTTTTGTGATACTGACTATTGCTGTATTGTTTTGTACTTTTAATATACCTTAAAAAATAATAGAACCATCCTTTCCAGGTTAACAAATATTTTTGTGTGTATCTACTTTTTGTTATGATGGATGGTTCTATTATTTTGTAGGGATTTTAATATCCGAACAATGCAATGATCTGTGTAATTTTTTCTTATAGTGTTTATTGAATCCTGCACCATTGATTTCTTTTAATAATGCTTGCGTGTGTTTTGTAGGAAGCGATGTTAATATTCGGAAGTTGTTTGAATTGAAGAAAGGTGAAAAATGCTGCGTGATAGGAACCATATTCAAAAGTATGGAATTAAGACCAAATATTCTCAGAGAAATTAGTGATGAGGTAAATATTTATAATTCTAGATGAATACTTAAAATAATTGTTCTTTTTGATTGATATTTTATAATTTGTGCTAAAATAACATCATAATTAATTCATATTTGAAGTTTGACTACCGACTTCCTTCAGTTGGTACCAAATGTTTCCTACTGGAAAATGGCTAATACATTTGTTATTATTATTATTATTATTGTTCATTTATTATATAAAATCATATTAGTAAAGTAGCAAACGCACTCGGTAAAATTCAAAGCTATTGTTAAGTAGTTCCATAACTTTGGTGGTTGTAGAGCCCCCGTTTCTCACACTTTTTTTTCTTTGTGACCCAAGTTGTATTTCTTACACTAGCCGCGGCCCATCTAAAAATTTGATAGTAAATAGCACATCGATTGTTCAGCGCACCGTTAATGAATTCCTAAAATTGATGCTCTATTGTTTAAGAATGACTGCTAGATATTAGTATGACAGCAATTTTTGCTTACTATGATTGATCTTTTTTGCCACAGTGGGAAAACAGTGGCCGATCCATAATAGAGGGGGTCAAATGAGGTAATTTCAGATAGAGGGACACTCAACTAAGCCCCACCAATGGTTGGAGCTGAGGTAAGAAAGGATAATTAATGGCACCTCTAGCCAAACGGGACTCAGATTTTTACATTAGAAAGCAATTTTCTCTTTTCTATTTCATTATTTTTTTTTTTTTTTAATTAGACACCCCCTTCCCCAACTTTATCTTTAATTCCCTACTGGAAAACAAGACAACTTTTCAATATTGGCGATGAAAATATGATTTTCTATATTATGTTTGATGCACTTAAAAACATTAAGTTTAATTTTGTGGCTACGACAGTTGTACCAACAAAAATATATAGGGAGAGTGACTTTTTAGGTGTATTATTAGTTAACCAAAAGAGGAAAAATATTCTATTAGATCTGAAAATAGAAGTTTAATTTTGAGTTCTCCCTTTCATTCTTTATATTTTCTCTGAATGGCCTATTGTTGATATTTTTACAGGTAAAATACAAGTATAGCAAAACAAAATTATCTTTGAAATGATCTGTCGTAGTTTTCACTGTTCTATTGTGGCGGTGTTAAGGGCCTTTACCCTGAAGGCTAATGATACCTAACAGCATAATGTGTCTCCGAGCTCCCATTAAGTTGTCAAATTCTTTTTAATTTTTGAAGTCTGGGAGTGCCGACTATCTTTTGTATTTAATTAATGAAGTTAGCAACCGGGACCCAACAAGAACCCCCCCCCCCCAATCAAATCTCAGAAAGCCACAGTGATCCCCACCCCATTGTTAAGCTATTGCCATTATCATCATCATCATCATCATCATCATATCATCATCATCATTTTTCACAATTTTTATAATCATCATCATCATTGTCACTTATGGCTTAATAATTGACATGTTTACATGATACTATTTTAAACTATCTCTTTCCAAATTTATTGTCAACATCCTTTAAAGTCATTTAATGTAAGGAATCCTAGCATTGCCCCTACTTGTGAATACACATTAATATATTAAATTTTCTTTCCTTGTAGCCATAACCATATATATGACCTTTATGATAGTAAACTCAACAGTCATTATACCAACACTGTATATGTTTGACTAAGGCTTGGTTAAAGCGCAATCCCAGTCAATGGTTCATTGAGGTCATGCAACTCTATTGGTACAATATCATACAGCATATGTTATGTCAGTTGGTTTAGTAAGCGTGATCGTAACGTCACTCTACTGTTTAAGTTTCCATACAAATACAATGCTATTAAAATTATTGCTACTGTATATCAGCATAAGTCCCAATCCAAGTGTCTTAGATCGTAATTATGAGGCTACCTATAAAGAATACTAAGCCATTTCCAGTTCAAGAACTCTGTACATTTAAATATGAATTAACCATTTTAATAAGTACTGTATAATTTATTTTTAGTAAGATCTATTATTCAATTGTAGTACAGTGTAACACGACAGTGTAAACAAATGTTTAACAAAAATCATTTATCATGCTACTATACTAATATAATTGTAGTATAAATACATACATAATAATAATAATAATAACAATATAATAATAATAATAATATTTTAATTTCCTCAAATACAATAAGAGGGCAAAGCAAAGAAAGGAGGAATAAGTTCCTGTAAGTTTTGGCAACCCCAAAACAGCAAACATGAAAAAAGAAAAAAACAAATGTCGAAAGCAAACAATCACACTTAAAGCAAGGACACCCCTCCAAAGTAAAATATTTACACATTGGTTGATTATCATATCTAATGACAATACTTAAGTTGTATATTAATTATTTTTTGTGATGTTAATTTTTTAAGTATTAGCCTATTTTTAAATTTTTTTTAAAATTATGCAATAACTGAGATAAGCCAAATGAAAAAAACTTTCCTCTTAAACTACACAAACAAATACAATATTTAAACATAAAGTAACAATTTACAGATTGATAAAAATAATAAAAAGGCAATGTCAAAATAAACATTCAGATTGTAAAAAGGAGGCAAACATTACAGTACATTGAGATATAATGCTAAGGCTATGATAAATAAACTAACTGAATCAAACATAAATAGTGGGCCAAGGAAATAAACAGTACTAGTGAATTATATATGTGTGTGTGTGTGTGTATGTGCGTGTGTGTATATGAAGGATTATTGAAGACTAGAACAAATCGTCGCTCACATCACGAACTAACACAATTAAATTCAATTGTGTTAGTTCGTGAAATCAAAAAAGCGCGTCAAAATACGCGCTGTTGTTGTTAAGGACTTTTTGTGTGGTAAAGAATACAAAATTGCTTGACAACCAATACGCGCTCGTTTTGACGCGCTACTGTAATTTCACGAACTAACACAACCTACTTTGATTGTGTTAGTTCGTGATGTGATCGACGAAATACAGGTCAGAGCGTAATAACTGGGAAAGTAGCATTTCAGTAAAAGTTTAAGATTTCTTGTGAACTTGCACTGCATCTCTACAATGTACAGGCCCGTATCCATGGGGGATTTTTATGGTTCGGGAGAACCCCCCTTTTTTAGCAAACCTCCCTCTTTTTTTGCGAACCCCCTCTTCAAATTTTCCAAATAAGTCCTCCAACCCAACTAATGCACTGCAGACCCGCCCAGACACAGATGTTTTTAAACATATCTGCTTTTATAGCATTATTTAGACCCATAAAGCACAAAAATCCTCTTGCTTTGGGGGTTTCGCCAGGGCTTCGACCATGGACCTCACGCCCAGAGACA